AGGGAGGGGGAGGCCGGCCAGCCCTAGGGGCGCGCCCAAAGAGGAGGAGTCCTACTAGGACTTCCTAGTCCTAGTAGGATTCCCCTCCAAGGAAGAGAGAGGGAAGGAAGGAGAGGGAGAGGGAGTAGGAAAGGGGGGGCGCCCCCCTTCCCTTGTCCAATTCGAACTCCAGGGGGGCGCGGCCTGCCCTGGCTGCCCTCCTCTCTCTCTACTAAGGCCCATGGTGGCCCATTAGTTCCCCAGGGGGGTTCCGGTAACCCCTCCGGCACTCCGGTTTTACCCGAAACTTCCCAGAACACTTCTGGTGTCCGAATAACATGGTCCAATATATAAATCTTTATGTCTCGACCATTTCGAGACTCCTCACCACGTCCGTGATCTCATCCGGGACTCCGAACAAACTTCGGTCATCAAAACACATAACTCATAATACAAATCATTATCGAACGTTAAGCGTGCGGACCCTACGGGTTCAAGAACTATGTAGACATGACCGAGACACATCTTCAATCAATAACCAATAGCGGAACCTGGATGCTCATATTAGCTCCTACATATTCTATGAAGATCTTTATTGGTCAAACCGCATAACAACATACATTGTACCCTTTGTCATCGGTATGTTACTTTCCCGAGATTCGATCGTCCGCATCATCATACCTAGTTCAATCTCATTACTGGAAGTCTCTTTACTCGTTTTGTAGTACTTCATCCCGCAACTAACTCATTAGTCACAATGCTTGCAAGGCTTATAGTGATGAGCATTACCAAGAGGGCCCAGAGATACCTCTCTGAAACACGGATTGACAAATCCTAATCTTGATCTATGCCAACCCAACAAACACCTTCGGAGACACCTGTAGAGCATCTTTATAATCACCCATTTACGTTGTGACGTTTGATAGCACACAAGGTGTTCCTCCGGTATTCGGGAATTGCATAATCTCATAGTCTAAGGAACATGTATAAGTCATGAAGAAAGCAGTAGCAATGAAACTGCAACAATCATAATGCTAAGCTAACAAATGGGTCTTGTCCATCACATCATTCTCCTAATGATGTGATCCCATTTATCAAATGACAACACATGTCTATGGTTAGGAAACATAACCATCTTTGATCAATGAGCTAGTCAAGTAGAGGCATACTAGGGACACTATGTTTTGTCTATGTATTCACACATGTACTAAGTTTTCGGTTAATACAATTCTAGCACGAATAATAAACATTTATCATGATATAAGGAAATAAGTAATAACTTTATTATTGCCTCTAGGGCATATTTCCTTCAATATAATAATACAATATTATTGCCTCTAGGGCATATTTCCAACACCTCTAAGTCAGCGCATGCAATTAACACGGGCTATGCACTGCTTAATCTCAACCTAAGTCCGTCCTCCTCATCGACGGTCGCATGAACAACCGTCCCATGTGGCTAGTCGTTCGCCGGTAAAGTACTCGTTGTTGCTGACACCAGGGATGATGTATGCGCGGATGGTAAACTGTTCGTCGGTAAAGTACTCCGAATCGCCTCAACGCGGGGAGGGGGAGGGGACACTTCACCAGTCTTAGGGCCAGGGACGATGGTGCGCGGACGCGCAGTGCATGATTTACGCTAATTAGCGCCTGGAACGGTCGCTGTTGGAGCGTACAATTGCTTATAGTACACTCTGGCTTATTTTAGCAGGCTCATATATATAGGAGTACATGATCTTCTCGGAGTAGAAGACAAGTTAGAATAATTCCTAGTCTATGCTATGTTTCCTAATAATCACGATACTCAACATCCCCTGCAGTCACAACGGTAGTGACGCAGACGGTGAGACTGACAAAGAATCCGAAGGTAAGCCGCGGACATCTCCCACAGTCGAATGGTCGATACATCATGGAAGTCCTGGCTAGAGTGGAAACCGACGAGGTTGCTCAAGCAAGGTTATAGCCCTTTGTGCCGATGTCGAGGTAGCCGAGAGCGTAGGGTGATGTAGACATGGTCAAGGTAGTCATGCAAGGTACACCATGGTCTATGTGGAGTCGGGTGGCCGTGTTGAGTTAGTCACCGTGGATCGGAAAGAAGAGCGGCAGTGGTGGCAGCCTAAGGAGGCGGCATCGATGCTCTAAGTATGCGAGGAAGAACCCGACTGCGTGACGAAGATCGGAATGGATGGTGGCGTTCCCGTGCCTATGAAGGCGTCCCGGCGCATACCACACAGAAGTCGACGTGCGTGGACAGCGAAGTGGATTGTATGCCGCGGCGCTACAACCCGAACGGGCGATGCAGTGGTAGCGTGCGGGTCGGGGAGACGACGCGGGAGACCTCAGGGCGGCGGCAGGGACCGCGTGCCACGCTCGCTACATCCCGACGGGACAACGCATCGGCAACGCGAGGGTCGGTGCAGCCACGGGGACGCCCTGCAGCAGACGGCCTCGGGGCGGCAGTGGACTGCGGGCCGCGGCATGACGGCCCGAAGGAAAGACGTAGTGGCAGTGCGCGAGTCGATGCAACCGCGGGAACGGCCTCAGGACGGCGACATGGACAGAGTGCCAAGGCGCTATGGGCCGAAAGAGCGACACAATGGCAGTGTAGGTCGGTGTAGCCGCGGGGAGAACCATGGGGCGGCGGCGCTCCGGTCCGACAAGGCGACGGAGTGGCAGCCCGTTGCTCGATCGATGGAGGGTGTGTTGTACTCGGGGACAGGGCAGGGACGACCGGCGAAGGCCGGCACAGAGCGGCGGGTGGTGCAAACCGATGGGCAGGCAGGCACGCGGATAAGGGCCGTGATGGGCCGTCACGTCACGCGAGGCCTCCGGCTCGGAGAAGAGGTCGTGTGGTCGCGTCGGTGTTGGAGTAGAGGTGCAGGGAGTCAACGGCGGCGACGGGCGATGCAAGCTGATCTTAGATTGAAAACCCAAAAAGAAACGCCAATCAATGCGACCAACGAGAGAGAGTGAAAAAGCTGGATCAAAGGATCGCAAAACAATACTCTGTAGGGCAGTCGGTCAACAGGACCGACGGACGAATCCTAAGTATGTGCGGCGCGGCCCCCGGTGGCGATCATGGAGATCGATTGCCCCGAGGGCGGGGCGGTGCGGAAGCGGCGGCAGCGGCTAGGGTTTGGATCAGGGTTAGACTGTGACCACGTAAGAGGGAATGGAGAGGGAGATTGGTGGAATTGTGATGTATTGCTTGAACCTCGTATATATATAATACCACATGGTAGTATATGAGATACGTGGGGTAATTACCATCGGGTGGTAGGATGGATTTTTCCTATATATATATATATATATATATATATATATATATGAGTACATTATCTTCTTGAAGTACAAGATAAGTTAAAATAATTCATAATCTACCATGTGTTTTTAATAATCGCGATACTCAACAGTGAGCACAGCTGTGGAAATAATCTTAAGCTCTACGTACTTCTTGAATCGGCCGATCACCCAATCTTTTAGAAATAGTAGCTACCAGCCTACAAAAACATATTATATTTTGGCACAGAGGTAATAGTTATGTACATCTAGGCCCTAGCTAGCTAGGGTATACATGGTTGAATAGCTCGCCATTCTTCGTACTCTAATAAACGACATAGCATTTGAAGATAAGCTCAATGACATTTGACCGAAAACCTGCCGAGCATGGTGTCTGTCATGAAGGTCGTCGACGGGGGCAGAGTGTACCTGGGTACAAACGGGCACCAGAGTGGACAGCGCCGTTGTAAAGGCGAGCGGGCGCGTCGGTGCTGGTTGCAAACGTCCAACAATGCTTCTGTGACGAGCGGAGAGGTACAGCGGCGACGGTGGAGCTAGACGATGCGGATACAAAATAAGGGGAGAAGGGACGAAGCGGAAGAAAACATGACCGGGAGGGGGGGATTGGATGGGCTGGGGTTTTGAAGCGGCAATGCTACACGTACAAACAGTTTACAGGCTTTTACAGGGTGGGTTAGTTTTCATTGGTCAACAGGTGAGCGGGACGGCCCACCCCCCTGAAAATCAGGGGGGAAGAGGTTTGTGATTGATTGTTAGATGAAAACAGTTTACAGGCTTTTACAAATTTTTGTATGTCTAGTATTTTTGGTTTTGAAGTCCCCTAAGAAACCTGTCCTTCACGGGAGCGAGAAGCCTAACAAGCACCTGCCAGGGGACGACGACTCGATCAACTTTGCCCTCCCATCTGGTGTTGGGGCTCCGCTCACGGGGCTCGCGTAGGGATTTGACCTCCCCCTGCTCGCTGGTTCCTGCCAAGCCACAGTTGTCAACACAGCTGCAGAAGAATCTTGAGCTCTACGTACACACGTACTTCTCGAATCGACCGATGACCCAATCTTTTAGAAATACAGTAGCTAGCTACTCTACTCGATACACCTAGCTAGCCACAGTGGAGTACGTGCGTATATATTCACCAGACATCTGCGCAACCGCCATGTGAGCTTCTGTACGTGGTGGCAACATAGATTAGCCTTTTCGAAGCCATCCATCGGTTGATATCCGAGATCAGGCAATTAGCTTGAGCTCCACATAGTTCATGAAACTCTCTGCTTTATTTGTTCGGGGCATTTTCTCGTGTTGTTGTCGTGCAAATGAAGAGTTCACCACATACGAAGTTCCAAGTGGCCTTCGTGTGACGTTCCTTTTGAGGCCAACACATGGCTCGCGTACGCTCTCGACCCAGCATGCAAGCGAGAGCAGTCAGTCGGCCGTCTGCACGTACGAAAAGGCGCAAGAGAGACAGGGAGAAACCAGACCTTGAACTAGAAGCTGCAACCTCCATGGAAGCAAAGCAAAGCTTTCCCCACGGCACGCTTGCTACTGTCACTCACGGCCGGGCACACGCTCTCGGCTTCACTGCCCACCGTCCAAATAACTAATAGCTAAAATAGCGCTAGCTGAATTGATGAACGCCGGTGTATAAATACTACTCTCTGTATCCGCCGAGCTAGCCACCAAGAGCAAAGGAGGAGGAGGGAGCGGCTGGCGGCGCCAGACCACCGATGGCGCTGCGCGACGTGCTGCTGTCGGTGGCGCAGACGCCGCACCGGCTGCGGCGGAGGGCGCTGGTGACGTGGACGCCGGCGCAGGAGCTCAACGAGGTGCGCGACCGGTCGGGCGCGCGCATGGCGCGGCGCCTCGAGTGGTACGACCTCGTGGGGCTCGGCGTGGGCGGGATGCTCGGGGCCGGCGTCTTCGTCACCACCGGCAGGGTGGCCCGCGATACGGCCGGCCCCGCCGTGTTCGTCTCCTACGTCGTCGCCGGCGTCTCCGCGCTGCTGTCCTCCTTCTGCTACGCCGAGTTCGCCGTGCGCGTCCCCGTCGCCGGCGGCGCCTTCAGCTACCTCAGGGTCACCTTCGGTACGTACGTTACGAGTTAGGACGTCCTGATCGACTCCTCTTGAAAACCACCATGTGATCCGCAACATAATTAACAACTGGCTGCTCAAACGGCCGGCCAAGAACATTCTAAATTTCTAATGCCATTGTCCAAAATACACCGTAAATCTGCAGTTCGATTTATCGTTTTGGTTGTCCGGCTCCGGCGCGGTTGCAAATGTTTGTATACTACTATTACTAGGTGAGTTCGTGGGGTTCTTCGGGGGAGCCAACATCCTGATGGAGTACGTGCTGTCGAACGCGGCGGTGGCGAGGAGCTTCACGGACTACCTGGCGTCGACGTGCGGCGTCACGGAACCCAACGCGTGGAGGGTCGAGGTGGAGGCCATCGCCAAGGGCTACAACGCGCTCGACTTCCCCGCCGTCGCGCTCATCCTCCTCCTCACCGTATGCCTCTGCTACAGGTATATACCGACACATTTCATCGGCACCTACCTACGTATGCATACGCGTTTTACAAGTGTGTCGCCATTGGTTTTCTTGAAGGGCAGCACCAAGGAGAGCTCGACGCTCAACATGGTGCTCACGGCGTTCCACCTGCTCTTCTTCGCCTTCATCATCGTGGCCAGCTTCTGGAACGGCAGCGCGCGGAACATGGTGACGCCCGGCGGGCTGGCGCCCTACGGAGTCCGGGGCGTCCTCGATGGCGCGGCCGTCGTCTACTTCAGCTACATCGGCTACGACTCGGCGTCCACCATGGCCGAGGAGATCCGGGACCCCGCCCGCGCGCTGCCCGTCGGCATCGCCGGATCGGTGCTCATCGTCTCCGCGCTGTACTGCCTCATGTCCGTCGCGCTCTGCGTCATGCTGCCCTACACCGAGATCACCGAGAGCGCGCCCTTCTCATCGGCGTTCAGGGACAAGGCCGGGTGGAGGTGGGCGAGCAACGTCGTCGGGGCCGGCGCCAGCATCGGCATCGTGGCGTCGCTGCTGGTGGCCATGCTGGGGCAGGCGAGGTACCTGTGCGTCATCGCCAGAGCGAGGCTCGTGCCGGCGTGGCTCGCCAAGGTCCACCCTTCCACCGGCACCCCTATGAACGCCACCATCTTTCTAGGTACCTCATCACAATGTTGCCAATTCATTACTCCCACTAACTTGTGTATGTAAGACTTAGAGGCTCTGTCAATATCCAGGACTCTGCACGGCATCAATCGCGCTCTTCACTGAGCTGCAGATAGTGTTCGAGATGATATCGATCGGAACACTCCTGGCCTTCTACCTGGTGGCCAACGCGCTCATCTACCACCGGTACGCCAAGCTCGGCGCGACCCGGCCGCTCCACGTCCTCCTCTTCCTGCTGCTCCTGACACTAAGCTCAATCGGCTTCTCCCTCTCGAGGAGGATCGACGGGAAGTGGCGGTGGGGGATGGCATTGTTCGGCGCGATGTCAGTGGCGGTCGTCGCAATCTTCCACTGCACAGCACAGCAGGGCGCAACCAGGCCACCGTCGGAGTGGACGGTTCCTCTGATGCCATGGCCGGCTGCCGCGTCCGTCTTCCTGAATGTGTTCCTCATGACAACCCTGAAGGTGAGGTCCTTTCAGAGGTTCGGCATCTGGAGCCTTGTGATCACCATCTTCTACGTGTGCTACGGGGTGCACTCCACATACACTGCCGAGGAAAATGAGATCGTCAATGCAATGATTCATGACGCCAATGCAGACATATTATCTTAGCGATAGCATCGTAATAATAAGGGATAAGTATATTTTTCGTCCTCGAACTTTTCCGAGAGTTTAGAATTCGTCCCCCAATTCTAAACCGGAGAGTTTTTGTCCCTCAACTATCAAAACCGGATAGCTTTCGTCCCTCATGTCACTTCAGGCGGTTTTAGTCCGGGATGAACATAAAATTTGTGAACAGTAAAATCGAAAAAATAGCAAAAAAAAAAACCCTGAAATTTTACAGCATCTAAGATAGTTTGGTGCGCAAGACACGTGCAAAATTTTGTGGTATTTTGACATTCGAGCAGCTCGTGGCAAACAAAAAACAATACATATGTACGTTAGTGAACAGTAAATTCAAAAATAGCAAAAAAATTCAAAACAGTATGAATTTTTTTGGCATCAAAGAGCCTTGGATGCACAACATGCGTGCAAATTTTCGTGGTGTTTGGGCATTGTACGAACTCGTGACAAAAAAAAACATTTGGCTCAGATTTATTTTTCTGAAAAAGTGCGCTATTTTGTTTTTTTTGGCCAGAGCTCCTCATATGTCATTTGATCACGAAATTTTGCACGCATCTTGCGTACCTGAGCATCTTTGATGCCAAAAAGTTTCATGTTTTTTTTGTTATTTTATTTACTGTCCACCGACGTACATATTTATAGTTTTTTGTTTGCCACGAGCTGCTCGAATGTCGAAACACCACGCAATTTTGCACGGGTCTTGCGCACCAGAGTTTATTTGTTTATTTGATGCTGCAAAATTTCAGCTTTTTGCTATTTTTTCAATTTTACTGTTCATCCCGGACTAAAACCGCCCGAAGAGGCACGAGGGACAAAAACTATCCGGTTTTGATAGTCGAGGGACGAAAACTCTTCGGTTTAGAGTTGAGGGACGTTTTCTAAACACTCGTAAGAGTTCGAGGACCAAAAATATACTTATCCCTAATAATAATACAACATGGACATACGCTTACCTGTCTCCTTGGAAATGTTCGTTGCCCTAGAAAAGATGCGGGCAAAAGAGATGCCGCTTTAGCTTTAGGTTAATCCCTTCTTTTCCTGCTTTTGTGCTTGCTCACTGGCCAAAACTGTTGGCCTGTAACTTTGCTTTTTCTCTAGGCATATATGCAGGATAGTGCAGGGCATGTGGTTGTTTGATCAAAGATCTGCCATTCCTCTGTTTAAACATAAGATATGGTTAAACTTCAGCGTAAGACATGAAGAAAATAAAGTATGCTTCAGAAAATTGAGAAAATGGAAACCAATTAAAATATGCAAATAGCAGACACACTCTCAAATACATCGAATTTTCAATACATTTGAAACAGATAATGTCAACCATGCTACTCGTTTTTTATTAAAACTGAGTCTTCTTCTGAGGCATAACAGTGCCTCAAATCATCACATACTCTCCAAACAAACAGAGGAAATCCACCAAGAAAATCACACTACAATCTAGAACCAACTAAACAGGAAGTTGGACCTGGCTCACCTGGCTGGGAAAATAGATGCACAAGTTCAAATCCTCATTTCTTCAAGGGTGCCTATTTCTTCTCTATTAGAAAGAACATGTAGTTTCTTCTACATGGTCCTTCAATTTTTCTATATGATTAGCTAATTTGCTATAATGCTCCATCCAAACATTTATGTTTTCCTTTAATGATTCATATACAAAATTTTCACTGATAAACTGTAAGAGGAGAACAGATTTACTACAGGTACGTGCTGGCTCGAGTGGTTTATCCAAAGTAACAATGGAAACAGTTAAGATTCTACCTCAAGTTTTACTCCAGTAGAATAACACTTCGCTTAGATCAAATGTTACCTTGCCAGTTGCCACCTGTTCAAGAAATGATGTCACCAATTCGGACACATTTTCCACATCAATCAAGGGGGAAATGTTCACTGCAAAAGAGTTAAATAGCTAATATTTACATTATAAAGAAAAGAGACACCCAAGTGATTTCAAAAGGTTATTTTCTGTTTCCTTGAAAAACATTAGCATATTCGGGGAATATTCGACAAAAGGCGGTCCTCGCAACTCGCAAGATTCGAAAGAAATAGCTTTAGAAAAGATATTCATCAATATAACAATGCTTATTATACACAATCTTACCAAGAATTCAAGGACCACACATGATGGAGCACGGAAGTAAAGCCAGGCATCATGGAGCAATTTCCTGCTTACAAAATCAGCACACCACATCAAGTCAATCTGCAAACCTGAATATGCTAATTAAGTGGTTGCTCAGTGTTGAACAACCCATGGCAGATAGATCATGGATGGATGCAAGCATGCTCAGGACCACTCACTTTAATGGTGGTCCTAAATTCTACTTAAGTGGCACTTGCCTTCATCTGCGGCAAATTAATCGACACCCAAAGGAAGTACTAGATTGCATCTATGCAACCCTTTCTTGTATAAACATATAACTTTCAAGTAGCTATGTAGAGTACTCATTGGATAGGAAGATTTTAAGAAGCAAAAAGCTCAATGTAGCAGATCATGGAATACCACCATTTGCAGCAGCAACTAAACTTTCAGCTCACTTGTGAGTACAAAACTAAAAAATAATTCAAGTTAATTAATCCATCCAAACATGCCTACAAAATTTTCAGTCATGTGTCGCATAAAGTTTGACCAACAAGACGCACAAATCAGATGTAATCACAGCATTATTATTGTCATGAATGATATATATTTATAAAATACCTGTGACTGATGAAACGTGCAAACAGGCATAGCATTGTGGTAAGTTTGTTAGTTAAAAAAGAACAGTTATGCACCATATCCAACATCGAAACAGCACAAGTTTTTCAAATAAAAATTTAAATAAAGTTACAGACAGCGCTAGAACATCATACAAGGCAAATATATGCATGCAATGATAGCAATCGTGCATGATATATGCCATTACCAGCTACAATTATTCGCTGCCAAACCTCGCATCCACTTGTAACTCAGCTAGCATTCCTCTTTCTGTTTGTATCACTCATTTTATGGTATATGACAAATTCACATGGATGAATTGAGGAACATACAAGTGATAGGCACTAATATATAGGGACAATGGTAAGAACAAAAACCCATTGTTTGTTAGTGATGAACGAATTGTACACAAACACAAAAACGAGGAAGATAATCAGGAAGGAAAAGAAATGAAAAGACAAAACATAACAGCAAGATGATGGTTGTTCTTATGAACGATCCAAAGAATCTTCCTTTATTCTAAAGGCGGTCAACAAAGGATGGCCCCAAGGTTGCAGTGCACCACGGGGAATCTCAATGAAGCATCTGTGTATAAGCAAGTGTAAAGAACTCCAAGGGGAGCAGGAGAACATATTCACCTTTTACGCCATGTCGTAAGACGACCATCAGTTTCAGGGTAGAACAGAACCTGGTGTAGAAGAGCGTCGTTGACTGCTGAATCTATCTACTTACAATGTGCGATATTTCACAAGGGAGAGTAGGGTTACAAATTAGTGCCTCGAATCAATTTGGAATGGAACTCTGCATATGTTTACTGGGTGAGTAATTCTAAGAGATAAGAAAACTAGAACACACACCAACCCCGTCTCAGCTATTATCCTTTTCCCGAGCATCTTCGTTGTCAGTGCCTTCTTTAGAGTTGCGTGCAAGGAAATAGTTTGTTTAAGTAACATTTTGAGTGGTTCTAATTACATGCTTGACTTCTATTATTAAATGAATGTAGAATCCATTTCTTTTTGTAGGGTAATAGCAACTACTAAGTGTACTGCTTTGAGAATTTGATACTAGGTAGGTGGACGGAATAATACAGTCTGTCCAAATAGACAGTTTCTTTACTTTTTATTGGCAAAAGGGGCGCCGGTAAGACTCTGAAAGAGAAACGCAACACAGAGACAAGAACTGGCTACGGTAGCAGGTTCAGAAGAAAGAAAAGAAAGACACAAAAGAAGAACTAATAAGGACTTCCTTTCAGGCTTATTTGCTTGATCTGTAAAAAAACAGTAGTACTAACATATTGGAGATTTCAGAATTTATGGGTTGGGCACTATATATCACCTAACTACCTAAGTGTAGATACAGGGTGCTGCCATGTAATAATTTCCTTGGTTCCATACTGCCATAAAAGATAAACCCAAGAAAAATTAATATAAATTTTGAACATCACTACTCCCTTATATCCGTATCTGCTTACAAAGACCACCCAGATAGAAATAAGGCTCCAGGATACTCAATTTTTCAATGGCCCAAGCCCAACTAATAATGTTGCACATTGAAATCCACACAGCAACAAACCATGCACAACCCTGATTAGAGTTACTAAAAGTGAGGCCATAACAATTAAGTGCAGGTTAACTAAATAAGTCGGGCTGTGATCTAAAGCCCAACGATGGGAAACTAGGGGTCAGGATAAACCTCCTCCATGGACAAGCACCAAGAACCTCATGGGGTCTC